CTCTCTCTCTCTCTCTCTCTCTCTCTCTCTCTCTCTCTCTCTCTCTCTCTCTCTCTCTCTCTCTCTCTCGAATGAATCTTGCTCTTTATCAAGGAAGATTCATTCTCGTTGGAAAGGTCTTATTTCATTTTGGTTTTGTTGTTTTGTTTTTGCAGAATGTTGTTGTTGTTGTTGTTGTTGTTGTTGTTTTTCGGCTCGGCAATAAAGTCAGAGGCTCAGGAATGACCGGGCTACCGGTAGCTTGAGCCACGGGCCTTAACAACCGGTAGGTACTGGTGGTTTAAGGTAAGTAGGTTAGAAGGACGATGTTGGGACGACACAAGCCGGTGCTGGAGCTTTTGCCTTGTGACCTAGGGAGAGTTCAAGGCCTGTGGAGTTATGTTGAGGGTTGAAGGCATAACCAGACCGTCCGACATAGCCGAATCCGGGGTATTGACCCTGTAACCTGTTTAGGGGCTTGTCGCTAAGGGAACTGTCGAGGGAGGAAGGCACTTCCTGTCCGTCAGAACTAGGTTGGTCGGTACTGGGGAGGGGAGGGTTATGGTGCCCTGTTACCCTAGCAGAAGGGGGTATGAGATCAAGTGAGTTCTGGTACGAGGACTGAAAGCATAGATCGACGTTCCGTCTATTGAGGGGGGGAGTTTAGGAAAGTAGGCAGTTTCATTCGATCCCTCGCTCTCATATTTTTCCTAGCTTTTTCGTTTTTTTCAGTTCTTCTCTATCTTATGAGGAAAGTTTAAAAATAATGTTGGTCATTTGGTGGTCCTTAGAATGTCTTTAGGACTTTGGGATTCTTATCAACTCGTCCTAGGTGGCTTCAAAGTCTGTTATACTCAGTGATCTGCAGCTGTTCGATGCCAGAACGACGCTGGCCGGTGCTGGGGTGTTGCCCTGTAACCTGCTGATGCAGGAGCGTGAGGCCTGGTAGAGAGATCTGGGGATGCTTTGGGGTGGGCATTCCACGCGACAACCAAGGGTTGCTGTCGGGACGACGCAGGTCGGAGCTGGGGTGAGTTGTGTTGCCCTGTAACCCAGCAGGATGGGGTGTGAGGCTTGGAAGAGCTCGGCAGGAAGTAAGACAGTTTTGGAGAACTTTGGAAGGGTTTGTTAGGGATTTCGAGGTTTTCGGAGCATTTGTAGGACCTCCGCGGTCTATTCCCAGGTCTCTCGAATTACTGCTAGTATTCTTAGGTATCTCAAAAAGAGAACGAGGTGAGTGGGAGAAGGAGATGGTGGGATATCAAGCGTCCTACTAGTGAGGGGCCTAGCTGCTAGGATGGAAATAGGGTATAGCAGCAGCGGAGATGGTGGCTCTGCTGCAGTAAGTCTTACCGGAGTGAGGTAAAGAGGATGGACGGTGGGGGGGTTCTGAGTGGTTTTCTGAATTCTGCTTATTTCTGAAGTTTGTCGTAGTCATTTTCTAAGCAGTTCCATTTTTTTCTGAGCCAAAGCCGGGTAATGGCCCTAGTATCTCAATTTTTAAAATTCTATGTAAACTTTTATACGGGACACTGGGCCCGGTTATTAAAAAAAATAAAAAGTTGACTCACATACAAATTGGCTTCATGGGCCACCTACGGAGGCCACATCGGTAGGTGGGAAATCGCATCGTAGGTAGAAATACTACCTGGGGTAGTCCAAGCAGTTAGAGTCTGCCTGATGACCAGTAGGTGCGAGTCGATGCTTGTCTCATGAACTAGGACCACCTAGCTGGCTGGTCGTCTCTGGACAGTGTATAGACATTGGGGTACACTCATAGCCCCGTCATCAGGGTCCTCGGCCCCACCAGGAACTAGGAAAGAGTAGGCTATAAGATGTGGGTATAGGGGCTGGAGGGGACTAGTAGAGAGGGTGCCGATAAATTATAGCTCGGGTAGGACTTGTATTGAGCTTGTCTTCAGAGTAGTGGGTAGGATAGGTGGTCCTGGAGGGGGGTGTACTGTACATTAATAGGAAGGGGGTAGGCTCTCTACGTCTGTCCGAGGGGGATTGGCTAGGGCTGTGCTAAGTCAATGGTTGGGGGCAAAGCAACTTAGAGTGAACCCACAATACATCTAGTTGGAGGTTGGTTCTGTAAGTACAGAATCCGATTTCTGGTGGCAAGTTTATGGTGTGGAAGGGACACGACTTGCGAGAGGACTTTAGGGCTTTAAGCCCGCAGAGGACTCCGTCTAGGAAGGTCCAGAGGGCCAAGTGGGTCATTCCGAACTTTGAGTGACTGAATGAACCCTAGAAAGTATCCCCACGCTTGATACCCTGCCTCTACAACAACCTGGGCGTTTCAAGGGAAAAAAAAAAAAAAAACTAACAGTTATTTTGTGCTGATTTGACCTTGGTTTTTTTTT